CCCTCATGCTTAGTAAACGGCCCTGCAGCACACACCTGAGGTAGATCCCATGGAAAGAAAAGTGTTTGTTTTTTTTCTTATACAAGGACAGAATTCACAGAGACATTGTTTTCAGACCTTTGTAAACCAAGTTAGCAGCTATGCTGCCCTGAACAGTTTTCTGACTGATTGCTGCTACCACACAAAATGTACATGCTTTTGCACTGGATCAGCTCTGCCTACACAGAACTGTGCTATTTTCTACAGCATCAGATATGTCCTGTGGAAACGTATCTTGCAACTTGCAATGTCTTCTGCGTTCAATATCCAGAACTGCTGCACAGTTCTGCCTTCACTGCACAGAGGGAGTGCAAAATGCTGCTCATTATGAAATAATTATCTCTTAAAGGACAAGTACGTTACAATCCCAGCTTTTAAATCCTAACAACTTCCTGCAATGGAGTATGATACAGCTGCTCTTTGAATAGTGTTCCAGGTTCTTCAGCTGCAAAACCAGGCAGAGACACGTTTACGTTCAAGAAAGTCTAACAGCTGAGAAAATACACAAAGTAGCCTTTCATAACTTTTCCCCTCAACTATTACTACTTCCACGGATTTACATACACCACACAATGCCAGATAGAGAAGAGTTACTCAAGAATACTTCAACTCATTCTTTCAGGTCCTCAGTTCACTAAGTGGTTTGTCTACTGAGCTGATGTTAAACCAAGTCTCATATTTATTCTTACACAAATACAGTAACCACTAGGTTGTTCCAGCATGCAGCTATATGTTGTTCTGGCCTGCCTACACTCATTCATTTGCCACAGGAGAGCTAAGCAGTTAACAACTCCCATGCCAGCATTAAAGATGGAAAGCCAGTAATTTCTTATCCTCCATACTGAAGGAACTGAGCTGCTTCTGCCATGAATTCTAACATAGCCTGCTTGAAGCCTGCTTCTCCCTCGTTTGAAGATAAGCATCACTGTTAAAGCCCCAAAACCTGTATTATCTACTACTTAAATTAAAAAAATCCACCCACCAATATGAATTCAAAAACATCTGGTCACATCAATGGTGACTCTCCCTTGCGCATCTGTTATAAAGGTTAGTCACCTCACTATTAAAGATGAATGACAATTTGGTTTTGTCTGCTTCAGCTTTGGTAGGTACTTCTACCTCCACACGTGAAAGCTTCCTGAACCCTAGTTACATTACATGTCTGTGATTACTTTTAGAAGCTATGCCCAGAATCTTGCAAAATACAAGCATGCTTGCCATTGCTTTTAATCTCTATCTCCTCTACTCCCTGAATCAGTGAGTCTATAATTTTTTCCTGGGAATTTTGACTAACCAGACTGTTATTACTCATACTTTGCCATTTGTCCTTTATAAGTAAACACACCAAACAAGCACTTGCCTGAATCTCCTTCCCTTTCTAGTAACTCTTTCAAGTTTAACACACAACTGAGCTCTTCAGACAACTCTTTACTGATAATCAGTCATAAAAGGTATAAAATTGCTCACTATATTTGTTGAAAACCATACTTCTCACTTCTTAGTTAACATATAAAAGAAAACAGCACTCTATTCTTGTATATGAAAAAGGAAAAAATAGAGATGCTGGAATGGAACACAAGCATTTAGCAAACACTATTGGACCATTGAACACTAACATACTTCTATGATGACAGACCTATATGGCAACTAGAACTGTTTTCATTCCTAATGTACTTACTAGCTTAAACTATGCTACTTACATAAGGGAAGGAAAAAATCCCTTCAATGTTTTTAACATTTCCATCAACAGTTCTGAGTGCCAGACCTCTCCTTTTTCTTTTTTTTTTTTAATAGTCTTTATTTTCCACTCTACCCTTCTTAGAGAACTTAACTTCCATATTTGCCACTGAACTAGACACAATCTGTTAACCAAATTCTTCAATTTTTTTCCCCATAGTGAGTGACAGGTGCAGGAGAGAAGCAGTTCTCTGCCTGCCCACAATGACCACTGGATACCAGGCTCACCATCAGGCTTTATATTTCAGGGTTGTGAAATAAGAGAGATTTCATTTCCATTACTCAAAGGAATAATACAATTGAAAAAGAGCCAAGCTATGTAGCTCCTCACAACCAAATTCTGTTGTGGGTGGGGGCATGCATACTTACCTTTTGAGGTCTAAGTACAATTTTATTTTTTAGACATGTTAAGATTTCCTGCTTGTCATATATAGTTCTTTCTCAAAAACAGAAAGAATGTGACTAAGAAATTAGTGTCCTGTATCTTTTTTAAAAAAATTGTAGGCTGCTCATTCAAAACACATTTTAGAATCTGCAACAAGGGCTTGGGAGCAGCACAAAGATTTACAACCACACAAAATAACAGGTTACCTAGCAACAGATGTAGTTTCTGCTTCAAAAATTGCTTCAGTGGGGTCCAAAATTGAAAGAATTTAAAAACAAATCATACCTTTTTTTTAAAAAAAGACAGCAGTTGCACTTGGAAGCATTTTGCCCCAAGCAGTTATTTTCTCTGAAGTTGCTGAAAGTATTTGCCTAAGAGCAGATACATGGTATCAACACAGGCAATTGAAAAAAGACGAATATACTGACAATATAATATAGTGAGATTTTAACTTTAGTCATTCACCTCCAGAAAGTAAGTTGCTTCCAGTCAAGAACTAAAATGACAGATAATGTAATAAATTCTGGACTTTTAATCTTGTATCATGACCATTACAAGCTGATTTATTCAGAATTCCACCTGGACCCAATATAATTTATCAAGCTGTCATGGAAATGTGTCACCACTCCGTAAAATCATGTTATATATTTAAACATGTACACACAGATAATTCACATTTATAACATTCGGCACATACTTAGAATTCTTGTGATGTGATTATTCCACTGAAGTTGTAAATGACAATTTACAAAATGGAGAAATACTAATTTCCAATATATGAAAAAATAAACTACACTCACAGGACCAACAGAGAGGAGGGTACTTGTGCTGTGCTTACAAAAAACACTAATTCCCTCTGCAGAGCTTCCCAGCTGTAACCTAAGTTCCTGAGCCCAGCACTTTCTAGTCAGTATTTTGTTTCTACAGTACTTTGTTAGTATTTGTAAAGAATGACCAGCGAAAGGTAAGAGAATATTTGCAACTGAGACAGTAGATGAAGTGTTTCCTTCAGCTACCTGCCAGTTGCAAACAGAGTTATCATGGAAGTTGTGATGCTGTGGTAACACAGGACTTGGGACTACTTCACCTCTGTCACTGAACTAGCACACAAGGAACTTCCTACTGAACGCATGACAAACTGTCTCCTTAAAAACAAGCAGTCTGACTTGGGATGGCATCAGATTTTTTTTTTAACTACTTTTTATACACTACCATTCCATACCACATGCAGTGGGGCAGAGGCCACAGATTTGAATCACAAGCACAGGACTTAAGTGACTCTAGGGCTTCCTAAGCACTCCCTCAAAGACTCGCATACTGTTCTGTGGGAGCATGCCAACCCACGAGTGCCTTGGTACTTGTCATGAGCACACTGTCCCCAGTGCAGGGACAGGCACACCTGCAAACCTGTGCCATCAGAAGGAAGGTGAGTTTGAAAGCCCAGAGCACAGAGCACCACCACTTCATGAGCCAGCCTTGCACATGCCCTGCCTGCCCTGAGATATTAAAAAGGGCCAGGCAGTGAAGCATGGTGAAGAGTAGTGGCTGCTCCAGATCCATTCAGACAGAAGCTAGTCCTCTCACTAAAAATCCTTCCAGGGCTGACATAGCCCCAGCTCTACTACCTAGTCTACGGGGGCAGGATCAGGAGCAAAACACTTACTTTATCTTTCATGGCAGAGGGGACAGAGGTCGCCAGCTGCTTGGAGCCCTTGTTGAACTTCTTGCCTGCGCCAGTGCTACCACCGCTGCTCTCAACCTTGATAAGCCGGTGCTTGGGGGAGATGTATTTCACGCCGGGCGGCGTCGCAGGGCGGCGTTCGCTGTGGCTGCGAAAAAGGAGCGGGGAGGGGGCAGCGCAGGTGGTGGAGAGTGCGGCACAGTACGAGGAAGAGGAGAAAGCTTTGGGAGCCACCTCGCCCAGTTCTTCAGGCGCAGAACAGTCCGGTCGGTACATGGCGTGTAACTTGCGCAGGGATGAGCCAGGCCCGCTGTAGGGGT